CCCCAAAACCCCAAAACCCCAAAACCCCAAAACCCCTAAATGTGACTGATAGCTGGAATATAATATTAAAAATTGTAAAGGAGAAATGAAATCTTTGTTGCTCATAACAATGCTTCTCTGCCTCTCAAGTGTGTTAGCCATCAGGCAGAGATACCCAACCGTACCTCCAAATGAGGTCTTAGAAGATGAAAGTAGTTTCAGTAACATTAACGAGGTCAGGACGAACCATTTCGATCTTGCTGTAATCATAGATTTTGATAATACTTTGATTTATGGAACACAGACCCTCCACTTTGATGTCGTCGCTGATCATGTCTCAAATGTATTCTTAGATGTCAGAGATCTTCTAATATCTCAAGTAACTGATGATCAAGGAAGGAATCTCGATTTCCAAGTTCGAGCAGGAGTCAATGATGAACTTGGACAAAGATTGGAGATTACTCTTGCGGATGAGTATTCATCCGGTTCTGCTTTAACCCTTACAATAAACTATGTTACATCAAAAAATCCTTCAGCTGTAAGTTGGCTTACTCCTGAGCAGACAGCTGGAGGCCAATTGCCTTACATGTACACTCAATGTGAGTCTATTCATTGCAGGTCAATTGCTCCACTCCAGGACACACCAGCAATCAAGGCTACATACACTTTCTATTCACAAAGTCGTGAAGATCTGATTGTTAGAGCAAGTGGAAACTTAACTGATGAATATGTCCAAGATGGAGTCAGACACACCAAATTTATAATGGAGATTCCTGTTGTCAGTTATCTTCTGGCTTTTGCTTCTGGAAATTTAGTTGAGAGACAGCTAGGATCAAGAACATATGTCATCACAGAGCCTGAGCTTGTTGAAAAATCTGTCAGTGAGCTCTCAAGATTGAATGAAGCAGTCGAAGCTGCTGAAACCTACCTGACTCCTTATGAATGGGGTGTCTACAAAGTACTCATGCTTCCACCATCATTTCCTTATGGAGGTATGGAAAACCCCTTACTCACATTTGCAAACTCTGGACTTATCAACGGTGATAGATCTTCCTTCAGGCTCTTCGTGCATGAGCTATCCCATTCTTGGTTTGGCAACCTTGTCACTAATGAGAACTGGAGCAACTTCTGGCTTAATGAAGGCTTCACCGTCTTCCTTGAAAGAAAGACCGATTCTATTCTGTTCGATAGAAACACATCTAAAGTAAGCTCCCAGTTGGGTAACTCTTCCATGTACATGCAGATTGAAGGTTTCGGACTTGATAGCAACTACACAAGCCTTCACCCAGACCTGAACGGGAACCATCCAGACACGAGTATCAGCGGTATCCCATATGAGAAAGGATTCCAGTTCCTAGTCTACTTGGAATCCCTGGTAGGAGAGGAGACCTTCAGGTCCTTCCTACAGTCATACGTCGACACATTCTCATACAAAAGTCTTGAGGTAGAAGACTTCATCAGCTTCTTCATTGATTTTGTATCCGCTGAAGTTGAATACAACCAGGCAAGGTCGGTCCTAGACCAAATAGATTGGCAAACATGGGTTTATTCGCCTGGTTATCCCCCTGTAACTGTCGATTTTGGAACTGATTCTTACGATAATGCTATTAAGATAGCTAATGATCTTGTCCAAAACACCTTTAGTCAAGAAGACCAGGATATTTATGCAGAGTTCAACCTTGACCAGAGAATTATTGTTGTCAATGAGATGGTCAGGAGCACAGATATTTTAATTGCATCCGATGTAGAAAGAATCAACTCACAAATTGATCTCTCTAGTGAGACTAACCCAAGACTTATCGCTTCATGGTTGATGGTGGCTATTCCTACTGGATATGAAGCTTCTCCTTTCCCAAATGCTGAAGCATATGTTGGATCTCTAGGAAGGTACGCACTTATCTCTCCAATCTATCAAGAAATGATTAAAGTTGACAGAGACGCTTCATGGGAGATTTTCAGAAGACATGAGAATTTCTATCATCCAATTACCAGAGAGATTATCAGAGATCTCCTAGTAGCCGAGGTAGACCCAAATGCTCCTCCAATAGCTGCTATCTTCTAGTTCTTGTCTGAGTTCAACTATCTCCAAGAATCTTGGGGTTTTGGGGTTTTGGGGTTTTGGGGTTTTGGGGTTTTGGG